GCATCGCTAGTAGTAACAAGTGCCTTAGTAGTAGTAACAAGAAGCTACTAGGAGCATTCTTACTATCATGTCGGGATGATGGTTCCACCGAACGAACCGGGGATGGAGCGAACGACACCGACGACACCTGGAGCCCGACCAGTCCACCATGTAGCTGCTTACGACCGTCCACCGATCGGTCTGGTGCCATGACCCACAGTCTGACTCGACCAAGCAGGAAAAGAGGATGGCCTGGTCTTGGGAGTGGCATCCAAGAAGCCTGGATCGATGGATGAGATCCTCATGGGTTGCGATGTGAAGGCGGGAGTGAAGGATAGTGAAGGCGGGAGTGAAGGCGGTCGGAATGAAGATGGTGCCAGGGGTTCCCTGTGCAGAAGATGGATGGTTGAACCGGATGTTTTAAACACATTTGGAGTTTGAGGGCCTCTACTTTCGAAGGTGACCCATTGCAAACATGTGCGACGGGGCCTGGCCCCGACCTTGGAACGCGCAGCGATGGAAAAAGACAGTGACTCCTGCAAAATGATAGTTTTCAACAACCCTACTGTGGCACCAACAAGCCAGAAACTTCATGAATCAGCTGAATCAGTCGCCGTGCTGCAACTGACCACTCTGCAGCGTCAAGGACTCACCCAAAAGCGACCTTCTCCTTTGGAAGCTAGTGGCAGTATCTCGTCCCTGGCTGTGGGAACATCCCAGACACCTTTTGAAACACCCCAACCATTTTCAACTCATCATCTCATTTTGGTTTCCATTGGATGCAGTAAAGCTCCACCATTACCCAAAAACGGCAAACACCTCTTATAATTGCGCGAGGACGCCTGGAGTATCGGCTACAACGGCTGTGCCTTTTCGCCTGACCTGGAGGAGGAGCTGCCGGTGAAGTGGAGCCCAGTGTCTGGGACGGACCGACCGAACAGCCAGGCTCAGCCAGGGTCTGTGTTTCCGTCGTTTTGCTTCTGCCGGCCAGTACGATATATTGATGCGTTTCTCGTCAAAACCGAGTTGTTGGTGTGAGTGTAGATAGACGATAGAGGGCCAGATGGATGTGACATGTGCTGCGGAACTTGCCTCTGATCTCAGCAACTGCAGCACGGTACGTCTGAGCATAAAGGTATGTGAAACAAAGACCCTCAAACAACAAGACGCGGTCTGAGATTGGTTGGGGCTCTTGCGGGGGAAGAGGCTGAATACAAGAGTTAAATAGTATGAACCCAGTGTTAATGCTTTAGCTTTTACCCCTGTTCAACCTGTAAGTCTAGAAGAATTAACTCTGGAGATAATTATGTCAACTTTGCCACTTGCGCAAATAGAGAATTAACTCTGGAGTTAATTCTTTTGCACTGTGTCTTCTTGTTACCTTCTAGTTGTCTATCTCTTTCTTCTCTGTCCTTCTTGACCTTTATATAGTCGTTTGAGTTTTAGGTAGGTGACAGAGGATTAGGAAGATAAGAAGGTGGAAACAGTAGCCACAAAAAATGAGTTAATTCTTGTTCAGTTTGTCTCCTTTTTTCCTTTGCTTTGTCTATCTCCTTTTTGGTTTTCTTCTTCACCTTGAGCTGTTGGGAATTCTAGGCAGGTGACAGAAGATTAGGAAGATAAGAAGGTGGGACAAGCTAACCACCAAGAAAAGTAACTCTGGAGTTAATTCTTTTTCACTGTGCGTGCCACCTGTATGTGGCTTTATTCAGTTGCTATTCAGCCTCTTCGTGCACTTGCTGCGTACTATTGTAGTGGCGATCCATCATGCAAACATTTTGTAACCAAAACTCACACAGTACAAGAAAAGACTCACAAGCAAATCAGACAAAGAATTTACTCTGGATCTAATTCTTTTTCAAGGGGTACAGGAGGCAGGAAAGGAATTAAATCCTTATTCAATTATTTTTCAAGGGGTCCTGAAGGGGTCCGATACAGAAAGAAAGACACAGAATTAACTCTGGAGTTGCTTCCGGAAGAAGCAGGGGTGACAAAACTCTGTAATTAACTTGGAACTTGGGAGTCAATTCTGAGGCGCATGCTGATTTGTACCCCAGGACAAAGAATTAACACCACCAGAGTTAAGAAACAGTAATTCTGGTATTCACTCCATTTCCTTTGCGGGGCGCTGGAAAAGCTCAGGTGAACTTGCAGCGCGGCGACTGTGCAGGGCTTCTAGTCAAAGGCGACTGTGCACGGGGAGGATCAATCGTGAATGGTGAATGATTAATAAGCTGGGGGTCAAAGCCCTCTACACCAATGCAATGCCAATCATGTCCTTTTTATAGGACGCTACTAGGGGCTCCTGGCCTTACTACTAGGAACAAGAAGCTACTAG